AACATCCATGAATATATTAGAACAAGAATATACTAGTGAATAGTTGAATACCAAACGTTGATGCCAGAAAAACTGAGAATTCATATTGGTACCATAACGAGTGAATACCCGCAATGATGACAAAACAAGTGTATAACCACAACTATACCAGAACAAGATAATACCGTCAGTGAAACATGGGCAAGACACGAATAAGTTTGCCAGAATTAGTGAATGACCGCAAACCAACCTCAGCTCAAAGAGATGGCAGAACTAGTTATTGATGCATTCCTAGTGATAATAAAACAAAGTGCGATCTGTAATGATGCACGGACAAACATCTGTTATTTTATGAACACAGGTGAGACAACAGCTGTGTTGATTGTAGGTAATTGTATACCACTTGGTAGAAGTGTCATTTTTACCTGAACTATGAAAATTTCAGCTGCACTGAACTTACTTCATGTTTCAAATCCTCTGTGAGTTTGTGTTTGTGTTTCATTGTTAAATTATATTTAATATCTTTAATTTCTTATATGTATTCTGTAACAAGATTAGTTCTGTAGATTGTAAAAACAGATATTACTTGTACAATGAGTGCAATTTCATAAAGTTATGAAAAAAATATATATATTAATATGCAAAATATTAAGTAATTGTTTTATAGTTTGGTCAGTTAATCTCCTTTTCCTCTTATTTATGTGTACAAACGAATGCTTGTTGGATAAGATATTGTGTGCTTATACATCATAACTGAACAATTTGAATTTGAAATGTATTTGTGTATATTTTTCAATATGTTTTACATGATTACACTCTGTGCATGTGTGTGTGTGTCTGTGTCTGTGTGCATGTGCGTGTGCGTGTGTGTGTGTGTGTACCTTTAACTTTTCAGCCTTAAATATATCTTATTTCACTTCTTATTACTTAAAAAATATATATATATAAACATACATATACCAATGAAATAAGCAATGACAAACATTCAGTTGGCATTAATAAAAACACCACAGTTTTAAAATGCATTTTTATTTAAAATAAACATCTCTTTTCCTATATACATTTAAGAAACATGATACACTTGACATTAAAAAATGCAGACAATATGTCCGATTGTCAGGCAAGACCTTCCTCACGTAACCCACCGAAGTATGCCAGACAGACGCTACGATATAGTACATTTACTCGCACACACCTTGTCTGTTAGGACTTTCTCATTTTCTAGTCAAATGTTTTAACAAAAAAGCTGGAGATCCTTATGATATCTATACATTATGACGAGAGAAAAATTGGTTCACCCTTCAAGATCGTCTTTTGTTACCGATGAAAAAAATGAATAAATGAATATATAAAAATTTTATAATAATAATAATACCATTAGTGCTAATGACGATGATGATAATACATAATAATAATTATCATTATTAATATTTTAAATATATATATAAATAGTTCATTACATATGAAGAAATATTAAAACATTAAAACAAATAAATTCACAATTTTTTTTTCAAAACACATAGTAAATATTCTATTTTGTCTTCATAAGCACATATATATTTACGCAATATAAACAAATTTAGAAAAGTTAATTCACCGAAAGGGTATCCTTAGTCACAATCACTCAATATTCGTATATTGTGAAGATGATGATGATGATGATAACTGATGATAATAATAACAACATGAACAAAAATAACATAAAAAGAAATAATGACATTATCAATAATGGTAATAGTAATAATAATAATAATAATAATAATAATAATAATAATAATAATAATAATAATAATAATAATAATAATAATAATAATAATAATAATAATAATAACAATAATAATAATGGAATATGAGAACAGATGCTGATGCAACAAATACTGACAACATATAGATAAACACTTCTAGATGAATTTGAATGACAAATGAAAAAAAGAAAAGAAAGAAAGAAAAAACAAGTAAAAAATTGCTCAATCATTTTTATCATTAAAGCTGTAAAATAAATATCAATAACACCATTTATGATTAAAAAGAATACAACACAAGATAATAAATAATAATGATATAAATACTGATAACAATAAAAAGAATGATAATAATAATAATAATAAAAAAATAAATAAATAAATAAAATAATAATAATAAATAATACTAATACTAATGGTAGTAGTAATAATAATAGTAATAATGAAAATAATACTGATGATGATGATAATAATAATAATAATAATAATAATAATAATAATAATAATAATAATAATAATAATAATAATTGCTAATAAATAATAATCATAATATCATACCAATACCCGTTTTGTGGATGGAGTCGTATGACGTCAAAAGGTTATTGGTAATTCATCAAGCTTCCGTAACTTTCTTCACAAGATAACATACAGGAGTGAGGGGAAATATGAGAGAAGGTCTGCGTCTTTGTACAAAAGTGGGTTGATATATAAGAGGAATCCACTTTCACTACCAAAAATCACAAAAAAAAAAGTATCAGTAAATGTACATAACAGTAATAAAATGAAGGTGAAAAGAACGGGGATGGTTACAAAAGCCTGAAATACCGGAGAGATATATCATCTATACATAAAAATATAACAAGTCATTCATTTGCTGATGTCACCTCGACATAGTAATGATTATTTAAGATAGGATATTCTATTTCATAATAATATATCATTACTGATATATAGTGACATTTTTTTTCTTTCTTTCTTTTTGGGCAAAGGTGTGTACCTTAATACAATTTAATAGATATTGGATACCTTGAATTACAACTTCAGACTACTTGGATATTACTGAGTTGCCAATTTTGCCATGAACAAATGCACAGATACTAGGCTATCAGATGTCAAATGTCTTTGCACAAAATTGCCTTCAAAAAGCACAAAATGACAATGAAAAAGGATTTAATATATATATATATATATATATATATATATATATATATATATATATATATATATATATATATATATATATATATATATATATATACCTTTTAGGCTGAAATCTAAAAAAATAAATAAAAAAAAAAAAATAAAAAATAAAAATAAAAAACTTGCCTTGCTGAAAACACTGGTTTTACACAAAATACATTATAATGTTCTACATAGGCTTGTATTATATTGTGAATGATGAAAACAATAACAAGATTAAAGAAAATTGAACATTCCAACCAAACAATGGGAAAATACAAAGCAAATATCCCTCATGAAAATCTTTGACAATGACTATGAATTATAAGAACTGATGAAACAAAACAAAATCCTTATGCCAAACAGAGGAAAACAGATAGAATGATTAAGCATAATGAAAAAATATATGACAAGAAGTCAAAGGAATAAATATTAACAAACACTTTTATCAGTTCTAATAGTGCTATTAATATCTGCTGTACTGTCTGCTGACACTAAGTAAAATTGAGATAAGAACAAGTGATTGGTTCCAAGTGGTGAAAAGTATCTTCATATTTCACCAAGTTGTTTATGCAGACAATAATTTTGTTCTCAATTTTTGTCACTAAAATAGAATTATAAATATTGTTACATGCTCATTTTCTTGCAAATCAGGCAAGTTTTTGGATTACTATGCATGAAAACCATCTATTCATCAAATTTCTCAGTGTCTAGTCTCTTATCTTGTTATTCATAGTCTCCTTTTGTTTTCCCATATTTATTTTTCTTACTCCTTCTTTTAAATCATTGATTTCTACTTCTTTAATCTATAATCACCTATTTCAATGGCAAAAAACTGTGTTACATTCAACTGTCATATTCATCCAGCCTCGATTTCACATTCATTAATATGCAAAAATACCTAATAATTTTTTTAAGTTGGAATTAAGCCTTGTTTAAGTCCCACTACATGTGAGAGTATGTGCATTTGTTACAAGGCACTCCTATGTTCCAGTCTAACATACTTTTGCTGCTATACCTCTTAACATCTTTGATATTCCTCTTTACTAAAATCTCTTATGATGTCATGTCTAATCTATAAAGAAGTCTTTATGTCAAAATGCCTTCATCCAATGAATGATTGTTTATTCAGATTTATGTAAAACAAAAATCATATGTAATAAGATCTGTTACATACACCCATGCACTGACACAAAAATTATACATACACATGCACATACATATGCACACATACACACTCATATATACAATGTTACTTTAAAGGCTCTACAATGCCTGAAGATTTCCACCACCAAAAGTAATGAAAAATAAATAAATAAATTGTTAGATAAATAAGTCAAATAAAAAATAAAAAAGGAACTCACACAAACAATGTTGCTGACAATAATAATAATGGAAAATAATAATAATAATAATAATAATAATAATAATAATATAATAATAAAATAATAATAATAATATAATATAACAATAATCCCAATAGCAATATCAATGACCATTATCACAATAATGATTGTAATAATCACCAAAATCACAATAATAAATCACAAAAATCAATCATCTGACTAGAGTACAGATGTCAACCCCACCGAATTCTTGGTCTGAGACATCCCTAAATTTACCTCCATTATATAATTATCTGAATTTTTATTATCATTTCTATCTTTATTGATATCTCTTATGACTGAGTGCAATCGTATATAATTTCTTTGACTGCCATAACTTGACTCTTTACGTAGCTAAAGCTATACGTCGATGGATGAAGATTGAAGAGCTTGATATTGATTTATAGGACAATAAACATATGTAAATACTTTGTTAAACTCGAGGATTTTGTGTACAAGTTGATGTGTATGGACATTTGTATATGATATGTATAATATAGATAAATATGTATGTCTATGTTTATGTATCTGTATGAGCTATATGTAGATGAATAGCCAATGTCTATGCATATGCATTTGTGTTTGCATCTATAGATATGAAGTGACTACAAATCATTTTTTTTATAATTCAATATTAATTCATTTCATAGGACTCTTACAATTCACTTTTCAAACTCTCAAAATCATATAATATTAGGCATTATAACATTCAATGACTATCAAAAAGTTTCAAGCTCGTGAGAGAGACCAGAAAAGAAAGAAACTGCCCATGACCAAGCCTTCTCACTGATTTTTTGTTTTTTTTTGTTTTGTTTACTTGTTTTCTTGAGAAAAAAGTTTTTCTTTGGACAAACACGAATCATACTGTCTAATGTCTTTTTTCCTGCTTACCATCCATCAGTCAACAGAAAGAAAACTAGGAATTATGTACATCCTTTTTGTACACATTACGTCTTGGGAGAAACTATATCTCAAGCATTCTTGTCCAAAGAAGGAAAAAACATCCATGTTAAAAAAGTGCAATCAAGTATTGACTGAAAATAAAAAGTTGCCGGGAAAAGGCATGACCCTAAAACTCCTCAAAATAATAAAGGAAGAGGCTGTTGGATAATGTAAAACTAGTTCAATGCTTTATCAATTATAATTATGTCAAATAAAGCTAATACAAGTTTTCCATCTCTATATAAAAATAAAATGAGAGATTTTTTTTTTCTTTTTTTCTGGAGGGAAGGGGGAGATAACCAAATGAAAACAATAATAAATAATATAAAATGAAACTTTCACTCTGAGAAGTCTACATTCACACACTCAAAATATGTATATTACAAAGTCATCATTTCACACTCAAGTTGCACATTACTTGATATTTCCATTAAAAATTGGTAGAAAAAATGGCAACAATCATACACCTCATCAACAAAGTAAAACTTCCAGTTGATAGATATCACTAGAGAATACTTGTAACTGTCACTGATATAATATGAGTTACTGTGAAAATTTGAATCTTGAAATGGCACACTGTATAGAAAATGAAATGATTTCTTCATACCACAATGATTTCCTTCTTGACAAATAACACCAAATCGTTCTATTTTCTCTCTCTTGCGACAGATGATATAAACACACCTTAGACAATCTTAGTCTTCCTCCACCACCCTATTATTCCAAGCCTTGCACTTGCGGTTCTGCTTGCGGAGGAATTTCTTCTTTCTGCCTTGTGTCCATGGAACTGCACTTAGTAATATATCATCATGACCATCAAAGTATAAGCACTGTCCAACACATTTCCACCTTATACAGCATCATATGTATATATACACATCTGCCTTGGCAGAAAGGTTTTCCAAGTTTCAAAAGAAAATAGAAAATAATAATGAACTGATAATCTTGCTCCAGTTACATCTGGCCATGTAATTTCTTAAAAGATGTTTATTTTACATAGTTACAACACTAACATGTAGTTCACAGGAAGGACTCCTTTGTCCTTGCAACCTGCAAATACACACACGCATACACTTACACCCTTCAGGACGATCACAGTTTTGAGATAGTAACTATTGGCTTATGGTTTCGTCACTTGCTTTTTAAAGTGCTTCCAATCCACTCTAGTCCCTGATAAAGGCTGAAAAGGAAAAAAAGAAGATATTAGATAAAATATTAAAAATTGAACCAGAAAAAAAAATCCACTTCACAACAAAAGATGTGCTATTTAAATGATATTGCATTCATTTTTGACCAATCTGCAAAAAGTTGGGTTTCAGTACAATCGAACTGAACTGCTTTTAACAAGGCAACACAAGAGAAAAAAATAACACCAACTCAAAGCCTTACCCTTCTCCTGTTAATGCACAACATCCTTGGATCTGCCACTTATGTTTCTTTATAGAAGTCAGGTTTAATAACCGTGAAATCTCTGCTGCGCTCATCGAACCTTTCACATCTTGCTTGTTGGCATATATAAGTACTGCCGCTCGTGATAATTCCTCATGAGCCAACATCTTGTACAGCTCTTCTCGCGTGATGCTTAGGCGTTCTCGGTCTGTTGAGTCTATCACCAAGATGACAAACTGAAAAAGTCATTATTCATGTGAATATTATACATGTTAAAGAAAAGTAAGATGCCTGTTTTACAAAAGATGGCTTACATAAAGACCTTGCATACAGACTGCTATAAAAAGAAGCTTCTTCCTCATATTAAATGATAATGAAGCAATTAAGATAAAGAATATTTACAAGAATATATAAATATAAGGAACACTCCTGAACATAAGAAATGCACCAGACTTTATATTCTTTCGTCGAGAAGTGCTAATAGCTTGCTGATAGCTGACTAAAAGAAAACTATCACACATCTTGGCTTAATCTGCTCCATAATTTGAATATTACTACGATAATCACTATCACATCTGTACTGCAAATACTAAGTGGACTGTTACACACTTTCACTTTAATTACCTCTGCCAAGGACGTAATGTTTTTGGTAATGTTTGTTAGTTTGTTTGTTTGCTGGCTAGCAGGATAACTACAAAAGTTATGAACAGATTTTTACCAGAGGTGTGTCTTAACCCAACTTAGATGTCATTAAATTTTGGTGGAATTTTAAAATTAAATGATTACATCAGTAACCCCTATTGCTCTGTCAGAGGTATGCAAGAGTACCTCTAGCAAGATAACTCAAAAAGTAAAGAACAGAATTTAACCTGAGGTATATCTGACCCTAACTTGGGTGCCATTAAACTTTGGTGGTGAGCCAGATCAAGATCTGGATCCAGGAATTTTTAAATGATTGCATTAGTCACCCCTATCACCTTGGCGGAGGTATGCGCTCTCTGATTGCTTCTAGTTTTGGTAATGTGAAGAGAATATAATCTAAAGTGTAGCTGAAAAACAATGATTAGGCCATAAAAAAACATCAAAACTTCAAAGTTTAGCCCTATCACTGAATCAAAGGAATATGACAAATATTTTCCAGCAGAACAAGCATCACCAATAACAGAAACCCAACCCTTCCAACAAGCACTCTCACCCCATGGGACAACAGATGAACAGCCCGCCTACCTCTGTATTAGTGTAATATGTGTTCCACGCCGACCGTAGAGATTCCTGTCCTCCTAGATCCCACATGATGAAGTGCAGGTTCTTCCAGACGACCTCTTCCACATTACTGCCAATGGTGGGCGAAGTATGGACGACTTCGTTCATCAGGAGCTGGTACAAGATGGTCGTTTTGCCAGCATTGTCGAGGCCAACCATTACAATTTTATGTTCTGAAAAAAAAATTATAGGATATAGATACAATACTCTACTCTTTCTGGCATATGTCATTACGTTTACATAAAATATAGTGTCTGTGTGCATCCCCATGTTTGCGCGCGAGTGTGTGTTTGTGTGAATGCGTGCGTGCGTGCGTGCGTGCGTGCGAGGCAATAATGTGTTTACAATTCCTGCTGGCACACTCGCCTGCCGGAGATGCTATGAAAGGCTTCCACGTTTATTTACCATCCTACTTAATTGGAAAGAATGCCGCGTCTGATATTCCCGAGCACATACACTGTTATTCAGACTTGTCGATACCCTTCGATACAATAATAATCTGCCCGTTACATATACTCTCTTTCGTTTTCGTGCCAGTCCATATTACTAAGCGATTTCCGATAAACACAAATCAACGCCATAACACTAAATATGAAAGCTTCTCTAGAGCACCCTGTTTACTTTCTCAATATCCAATAACTAAAAATATCTCTTGATACAAAATCCCAAATCCATGTCGCTGTGATAATTCAATAAATATAAATCGTTTAGGCAATCAAGAGTACATTCATGCTTTTAGGGGGAGGTGAAGGGCAAGGGGAAGAGTGCACGACCTTGCACTCAGGTTATATATATATAAAAAGAGATAAGGCCACTTGCCATAGCGCCCAATGTTTCCGCTCTCGAAAGTAGGACAATCGTTTCGTACATCCGAAATAAAAATGCACACTATCATGCTACGCTTTTCGCTCTCCTTTCGTCATCTCCGAACAGTTTCAATTATTGTGTTTAATTTATCGAGAACAACATGATGAGAAACCATCAACTATTGCCAGGGCTACGAGACGCGCCGGCGAGGCCCGTCCGCGAGCATCGCAGCAACGGACGCAGATGAATCAGCGCCGTGGGTTCTCGGGACCTCCCGTGACGTGGATGTGACGTAACACCCGCTTCTTACGCACATGTGACGTCAACCGAAGCGAGGGGGAAATCTCTCTGCTTCGTTTACATTTATGCTTTTCCTCTTAGCAAATATTCCAGAACCACACAGAAATTATGCATTTTTTTTCTACAAACTCATCGTGCACAGCGTTTAACTTAAAACAAACTACACAGTATACAATTAAGACAACATTGCGAGCGAGAGCGCAGACGAGCTGGCGCGATTCGTCGAAAAAGAAACAAACCAAGTGAACGTCATCACACGAACACTTGCTCTACGAATCGACACCGACTTCCAACGACGAGAACTTGAGATAGAAAACAATAAAACCTTCTCCTGGGAATTTACAAGACATTAATTACTACTAATAAAAATTATATATATATATATATATATATATATATATAATATATATATATATATATATATATATATATGACTCTTAACACACAAATAAACTTTGTCGCACTTTCCAACGGGTGTTTATAAGCAGCTTGGATACCGTGATACGACACTCTTATACCCTTATCAATAGCAGTCAGCGTGGGGCCGAGTTACGTAAGAACTCTTTAAACAAGGTGGAGGGTGTGGACTGGTAGTGGGAGGGGAGGGGAGAGGGAGGAGGGAGAGGAGGGAGGGAGGGGAGGGGAGGGGAGGGGAGGGAGGGGGGAGGGGAGCGGAGCGAGGGAGGAGGGGGAGGGGGGTAAGGTGGTTAGAGAAAACTAAAACGTGAATGAGAAGGGGGGGGGGGGGGGAGGGAGGGGAGGGGGAGGGAATGGAAATGGGTTGAGGAAGATAAGATAGGAGGAGACATGGAGAGAGGTAGGAGAATAGGAGGAGAGGTAGGAGTAGGAGGAGGAGAGGTAGGAGTAAGGAGGAGGAGAGGTAGAGTAGGGAGAGACAAGAAGAAGTAGAGAATAGGAGGAGGCGAGGAGGAGAGGTAGTAGGGAGAGACAAGGAGAAGTAGGAGAATAGGAGGAGGCGAGGAGGAGAGGTAGAGCGCAAAAGGAGGCGAAGAGAGGTACGAGAGCAGGAGGACGGGAGGGGAAAAGGAGGGAGGGATGGTGGGGGGGGGGCCTGAAGTGCCCAAGGTCAACATCTGCAACACAGCAGCTCCCCGCTACATATGCAGCGCGCATCCTCCGAAACAAGGCGACAACCAGACGCCGGGAACAACGCGAGCACGAGGGAGGGACGACACCTGGGGGGGGGGGGAGGTGAGAGAGGGAGGGAGGGAGGGAGGGAGGGAGGGAGGGAAGGGAAGGGAGAGGGAGAGAGGGAGGAGGAGGAGAGGGAGAGGGGGAGAGGGAGAAGGGAGAGAGGGGGAGAGGGAGAAGAGGAGAGAGAGAGAAGAGAGAGAGAGAGAGAGAGAGAGAGAGAGAGAGAGAGAGAGAGAGAGAGAGAGAGAGAGAGAGAGAGAAGAGAGAGAGCGAAACATCTGTCGTCCATTTAAGCACCCCTCCCCCCCTCCCCCCCCCCCAATTCGACGAAGCGCCCCGTTATCCTCGGAAATTATCACAGCCACTTTTTTTTTTCTCTCTCTCTCTCTCCTCTTTCTTTTCAGTCTTTCTTTCATTCTCTCCTTCTCTAATCCTCTCTCATTCTTTCTTCCTCTCTTCTCTTCCTCCATTCTTCCCTCTTTCCTTCATCTGGAAATGAACAAAAAAAAAAAACTCTACAACAAAAGCACTGCAATTCATTTTCTTTATTTCTTTTTCTCCTTCTTCCTTTCTAGCTACAAGGGAACGCGAAAAACAACACAAGCACTTCAACAATCTCTCCTTTCTTTTCTTTCTTTCTTCACAACTTCACAACCCAAGAATCACAACATTTTCTGTCTCTCTTCTCTCTTTCTTTTCTTGCTTTTCTTGAGGGAGCAAGAAAAGAAAAGAAAGAAAACAAAAACTCCCGCGATTAAAAGCTTCATAAAACTTCACAACCCAAGAATCACATTTTCTACGTTTCTCTCCTCCTTTCCTTCCTTTTCTTTAAATTGGAAGGGAGCAAGAAAAGAAAGACAGAAAGAAAGAAAACTCCCAGCGATTAAAAAGCTTCATAAAACTTCACAACCCAAGAATCACATTTTCTATCTTTCTCTCCTCCTTTCCTTTTTTCTTTAAACTGGAAGGGAGCAAGAAAAGAAAGAAAGAAAACAAAAACTCACAGCGATTAAAAAGCTTCATAAAACTTCACAACCCAAGAATCACAATTTCGGTCTTTCTCTCCTCCTCTCCTTCGCAACAGTTTCTATCTTTCTCTCCTCCTCTCCTTCACAACATTTTCCAATCTTTCTCTCTCTCCTCTCCTTCACAACATTTTCCATCTTTCTCTCCTCCTCTCCTTCGCAACATTTTCTATCTTTCTCTCCTCCTCTCCTTTCCGCAACTCTTCAGAACCAAGAATCACATTTCTATCTTTCTCTCCTCCTTTCCTTTTTTTTAAACTGAAGGGAGCAAGAAAGAAAGAAAAAAAAACTCCAGCGATTAAAAAGCTTCATAAAACTTCACTTTTTCGTCTTTCTCTCCTCCTCTCTTCACAACATTTTCTTTCTCTCGGGGCTGCAAGGGAGCAGGAAACCCGCCTCCCTTCCGATTAAAAACTCGTTAACGCAAGCACTGCATCGTCATCTCTCCTTCTCTCCTCCTTTCCTCCTTCCCTTCTCTTCCTCCCTTCTTTCGGCTAAGGGAAAAAAAAACTCTTTCCGTTTAAAAGCTCCATAACGCAAGCATTACATCGAATTGGAATGGGAATCGGAATCGGAATTGGGCGAGGGCGAAATGCTTTAGTTACACGAGCTCTCTCTTTCTCTTTCTCCTTCTCTTTCTCTCTCTCTCTTTCTATATATATATTATCTCTATATATATATATATATATATATATATATATACTATATATATATCCCTCCCCCTCCCCTCTCTCCTCTCCTCTCCTCTCTCCTCTTCTCCTCTCTCTCCTCTCTCCCTCTATCCTCTCTCAGGAATGGTACCAGAACATAGCCAAATACACCTCGTCTGCCACCTGTCTGAATGTCCACGACGTGTCGGGATACACAGACGACGAAACAAGTGTAATTGGGAGAGAATAAGTAGGTGTATGGGCGAGGGGGTGAGTGGGGGAAGGAGGGAAGGAGGGAGAGAAGGGGGAGGGAGAGGGAGAGAGGGGAGAAGAAGGGGGAGAGGGAGGGACGGAAGGGGAAGGGAGGGGGGGAAAGGGGAGGAGGAGGGGGGAGGAAGGGGGAGGAGGAGGAAGGGAGAGGGAGAGGGAGAGGGAGAGGGAGAGGAGGGAAGGAGGGAGGGAGGGAGGGAGGGAGGGAGGGAGGGAGGGAGGGAGAGGAGAGAGAGAGAGAAGAGAGAGAAGAGAGAGAGAGAGAGAGGAGAGAGAGAGAGAGAGAGAGAGAGAGAGAGAGAGAGAGAGAGAGAGAGAGAGAGAGAGGAAGAGACACACACACACAACACACACACCAACACACACACACACACCACACACACAACACACAACACCAAACACACACAACAAAGAAGCAGAAAGCAGAAATAAGAAAAAAAAAAACAAAACAAAACAAAACAAAAGAGCCACGCGGATGAGACACACACACGAAAAAAAAAAAAAAGTGAAAGAGAAAGAGAGAGTCCAATCCGACGTCACTTTCCGATCACCCTCGGCGTGGAGTCTTAACTTCCCCGGCCGGCACCGCGCCAAACGGTCCTGACAACGGTAAACGCCCCTTGCAAGCCGCACGCAACTCGGCAACAATACGTCATTCCACTACGTATCAGCGGTCGCCATTCCTCACTCGATTCCGGGGAATTTCACTCTCGAATATTCCGAAGTAACGGCAGTCGGCTGACCAACGAACCAGCCGCGCGATTAACCGCAATTAGTGTATTGCAATAAGGCCGAAAATCACATCGCATTTGTCGCCCCGCATTTATACACGTTTTTCGCTTTGTATGTCACTGAACTTCAGTAAGAAGAAGAAGAAGAAGAAGAAGAAGAAGAAGAAGAAGAGAAAGAGAAGAAGTAGAAGAAGATGAACATGAAAAAGAAGAAGACGAAGAAGATGAAGAAAAAGAAGAAGAGAAGAAGAGAAGAAAAGAAAGAGGAAGAAGAAAAGAAGAAGAGAAGAAGAAAAAACACTTACGACGGTCTCACATTCCCATTAGTATTTCATGACATTATTTAT